GGAGAGACTCATTAATGGCATTTGTCCAGATTCCAGAAAAGTTCGGGGCGGTCCGCACTATCGCAGCCATGGACGAAGAGGAACTGTTAGTTGGTACGACTCGAAATGCCATCCTCAGAGGAACCTTCTCAGACGGCTTTGTGGCCATAGTGCAGGTGAGCTAACGACCTCACATGCACCAGTGTTGTCAGGTCTGTAGATGCTTGCTGAGAATTTTAGTACCAAAAGATAAAACAACATGTGTATTTTATATTTTTGTCTGATATGTGATTTATAGACAGCTTAAACATTTAATATAAGCATCTTCCAGTTCTTTCACAGACTGGATGTATTTGCTACTATCACCTGATGCACAGTTAAGGAATCGGAATAGTTAGGAAAATGACGTCATTAGAGGTTTGTCCTGCAGAGCAGCCTGTCTGCAGCACGTGTAACACAGCAGCAGACATACGACACGTAGATTGGTCAGGTGTTGGGTCACATGTAATCTCCCTTTAGTATCATTTTATTCTGAAAAGCGACCTTGGTTACTAGTTGGTTAGTTTTAACCAAGGAGCTGCGGTGTCTAACATCAAACTGATTTTGTTTGATGTCTTTTTACTTCAGCTTTGCTTGGATGAAAGCACAGATGACTCTTCTTCTTCTTTGTTTGTGTTCTCAGCAGTGCTGATGAGCATCAGTTACTGACTGATGCTCATTTTTCAGCTGGTTAACTGAAAACTGCTGCAGCTCTGTAATGATGTCACAGACACCACTTCACTGCAGCAAATGCAGTTTTATGACAGTCCCTGAGCTGAAGTGGCTGTTGGCCCAGGCCTTTGGTGAAGTGGAGAGACGAGCGCCTTCTGGGTTATTGAATTGGCTTATTTTGGGGCATTGGCCACAATTGCCCATAACGCTAGCAGGTGGTGCTCTTCTACCTCTCTGGCTCTTGATGTCAGGCTCCTGGGACCTCGTGGTTCATCTACTTCTACCTGCATTTAACCAGCCCTCACCTCTCCCCGTAGCCAGGGCATGTATGACAGCTGATCAATGTTGACGCTAACCCAACATCTGTTACTGCTTCTGCTTCACCTCACATGTGTCGAGCATTCAGATGACGGAAGTTTCACAATTTTAAACACAC